AGAGAGTTCTGCCCAAATTTTCAACTTCACTCCGCTTCATTTAAATGGGCGGCAGGGCAGGGTTGGGTGAGCGATGGAGTGGAATAGGATGGGTTGTGGGAGGGCAGATGGGATCAGCAAAAATAAACGTGGCCGTGGCGTGAGATACGCCGGCCCTTTCCAGGCCACAATATTCAGCATCCTCGTCCCACAGATGTCACTGGTAGAAAACAGCCTGTTTGCGATGCCAGCTGAGATGCCCTTTTGACACAAATTGATGCCGTCGCAGTGAGTGCGATGGCATAAAAGGGGCTGTGATGGCATCAATTTGTGTCAAAATGGCATCGCAGTGGGCATCGCAAACAGGCGGTTTTTCTACTGGTGTATGTCAGGGAACGATCCCAATCAGATGTGCCCAAGGGAAGAGATTAAACCTACAGTTTATTTTCTTATTCGCCAATACCAGAAGTCGGCAATGGTGTTCGATTTCAATATGATCTAGCGGGGTCCAAATTTGATGTCGTATAAGGCACTGGGGAATGGGATGTTGATTGGTGTACAAGCGAACTTCGCAACAAAAACATCAGTCTGAACCGGTGCATTCGAATGCACCGGTGAATTCACCACATTAAAACATTTCGCTGAAATTGATCTAAAATTCATCAATAATAAGATCAATGACGTTAAATATTGCAACTTCACCAAGGAACTGTTATCTCCATTGCACTGAAGTGATTAACAGACGTCACGGCATTTAAAATGATTTGCAGAATGACATCATTTGATTCAGGAATTAATCGAGCTTCAAACACACTGTGTTATAAACCGTCCTGGTTCTCCAATCAAATCGCAAAATGGTCGCCGCGGCCTTGGGATTGTTGTTCCCACACGAAACCGACATGGAACCAGCGCACATCGCTCCTTAAGTGATTGCAACGGCGGCCAGCGGTATATCACCACCACACCAATATTCTCCGTCATCGCAACGCATGCAGACGCGATTCAAGCCGCCCCTCAGGAGCAAAAGAACAAGAAGACTGTGGATGAATGTTTCCGAAGATTTGGGGTTACTGATGCTCACAGAGCAAAGCAGTGTCGCACGGTTTGGCACGCACGCTGATCGTGTATCCATGCTGGAACAGATTTCCCATTGCATTTAGCGGACAGTCTGTTGCCTGTGTTGGGATGCAGCAGTTGCGTGCTTGATCTGCGAATGGATGAGTGGGCGACTCTGTAGCACCGTGGACAATGTGCCAGGAAAGGAATGCATGAGGCATGGGCGCTGATGGAGGATTTGGAGGAGGTTGCTAGCTAAAAATATACATGTGACTCATGCAACTCACAACAATATGTAGTGGCCTCAATACACAGCAAACGGTTTAGAGGCACATGTGGCCCAAAGTCGAAATTCTCGGCTGTTCGCGCAGAAATGCCTGTAAACACATGTCATGTCAATCTGTATTCGATTCACACCCATGTAGAGCGCAACTTGTATAACTTTCAGGGTAACTTGCGGCTGAGTTTTAAGAGTCCATGCCTCTGCCGCCGTTTGGCGATTTTGTAGACTTGGGGTGTCGAGCGGCGGAGGCAGGGGCATTTGGGACGGTGCCTGCCGATACCTCCCAAGGGAGGTATGCTTGGGCTGCTGGACTTGGGCTACCACTGGCAGCACTACCAGTATTTGAAATAGCGACCAAAATAATCGCAGCATCGGGGTGGCAACAACGGAGAGTTCGCAGCTGGCCACGCACAAAATTGTGTACACGAGGTCGAGGCTTGTACCAATGTGGTACCGATGTACTGCAGGTCGAGGGGACACGCATCTCTGGCATTCTTCAAATTCATTAATACAACCAGCTCATTCTGACCTGGACTGCTTGACGATGTTCCTTCCCTTCTTGTGCATTGGGGCCCTTGGCCTATGCGCATTGGCCCTGGGACATATGCGGGTGCATGAGCTCGAGGAGGCACTGGCACGTAAGGGTGACAGTCGGCAATGTGTGACAACCAAGGTGAAATGCAAGTCAGCCAAGCTCTGACGCATTGGCAAATTGTGAACGACGGGGATGCGTCACTCCGACGAATTGGACCAAGCTGGGGCACAATGGCAGTCTCTGCCGGCGGGGAGACCCGGGTCATCGTTTCCCTGGGCGGCCCACGACAACGACAGGCCTGGACACTTGTACTGCCTCGTGCCTCTGCTCATTTTCATTTCATGATTACCTACTTTGTTACGCGACGTGGTTGCTGCGGTTGGCGCGCCTTCAGCAGCCGATGGGCCGTTTCCCAACGTCGTGGCTGCATGAAGATTCCGATTGACGGCTGTGTGGCAATGGATCACAGGGCCGCCGATGGTCATCGCCGGAGGCCTGCATCCAACGGAAGCGTCTCTGGTACGTCCGAGTGGCGTTCCACGCGAAAATTGCTGTCACAACAACGTGAAGAAACTGTGTCATAATTTTGAGGCCGGTGAGCCTGCCCACAGGCGGTACATCGGAGCCTGGACGCGCGGAACCGTCACTCCCAGATATCCGGCAGAGCTTGGTGCCTGCGTTGACGGTGTGCGCACGCCGGACGGCGGAGGGGCCACTATATTTATACCCCCCTCCCCCCCCACCCCACCCACCAGCCAGAGTGCCTTTCCTTTGCCTGGTGGAGGGGTCGGGGACTTGAGGAGAATGGCGGGGGGATTCGGCGCCATGGGGTCCCGGGCGCTCCTGCTGATCGCGGCCGTGTGCCTGGCTAGCTTCGCCGCCTGCAGTGCGGCGCCCGCCGCCGTAATCTACCTGAACACTTTCAACATCGGGGACCTCAACAAGATGTTGGGGCCCGATGCCGCTTACACGCACTACCTGATGGCGTTCTGGACGGAGCGGTTCGGGCCCGTGGACGCCGCCCTGACGTGGCAAATGAACAAGCTGGGGGACAATCCGGAAGTGCTGGCGGCCAAGGAGAGGGGGGTGAAGTTCATGGTCTCCTGCGGGGGTGCCACGGAGATCCCGCAGTTCTCCACTTCCGGCGCCGACTACGGCCGCGGGGTTGCGGAGTTCGCCCTGGCAAACGGCCTCGACGGCGTCGACTTCGACATCGAAGGTGGGCCCGCTGCGCGAGACCGCGCGTACGACGGCTCCAACGAGGCGCGTCGCCAATGTCGTGAAGCTGTTCGCCGCCGGTGACTGCGCTGCCCGAGATGGGATCGATTCCGCAAACAATATTCGTTGAAAACACTGGCCGATGCGCTGGCGCGGGGTCCGCCGCATCGAGGCGAGGACATGCTCGCGCCCCCCGGTGCTCTGTCGCCGCAGGGATGTGCTTGAGGGCCCCGCCCTCCACGCCGCTGTGCTCGCGAGGCCTGCGGCGCGTTTTCGCAGCGGCCGGGACGCGCTCAGGGACTGGCGCAGCGGTTGCGGGCGTCGCTGTCGCCGTCCCTTTCCCCGTGCGGCCGCCTGTCGCGTGTTGGCGTCAGAACGCCACCCCACCCGCTAATCCGTTGGCAGCTGCCTATTGTCTCTGTACCTCCCGCGTGAATACGGCATCCTCGCGTGGTGGGGCCACTGTACATGGCGGCACAGTGAACCGCTCCCGCGAGTTCGCCAGGGCTTCCTCGGGTCGCATGTCTGGTCATCCTATGATTGATGGATTATCGTAAGCCTGACCGTGTTTCGTGAGCGGCGCTGGCGCCTTGAGCGCTAAGAGCACCCACTTCCATCGGCCAACGTGGGGCCTTCAGGGCGGTGGGACGGCACCGGACCGGGGTGGGGGTGGGATCGGGCGCGGTGCACTGCGCACCAGTCGTTGCGCCATCGATTGGGGCGGCACTTGCCCGTGGCGCATCCATCCATGGCGAAAGGCGGCGGCAGGGAGGCAAGGGGAGGCGCTGTGGGCGGAAAGGGGTGTTCGGGGCGCGACAATGCGTCGGGGATCCCCGAGAATTTGTCAAGGGGGCTGGCGGAGGGGCGCGGCCACGAGAGGCGCTGGGGCCCTCCTGGCTAGCAACTGGGATTGACACCTGGCCAGGGGGGGGTTCAACTGTACCGGGGTGCCGGGGTGGAGATACTGGATGTGCGTGGTTCGTTGGCGGAAAGCACAAATCCGATGGTGCGCCGCCCCTACAGCGTTGCTGCAGCTGGGTAAACTCGCGCATCGCGTGGTGTTCGCGGTGGGGCGGGGAAGGGTCAAACGGAGTTGGGCGTGGGGGAGCGGGGCTTCAGTGCGCAAGGGGTCAAGGGCTTCGCCAGACTGCACTGGATACCTCCGCGTCCGCGGCCACGCCCAAACCGGATCGGCATCAAAGCAAGGATCCTGTGTTCGGAGGGAGCTGATCTGTGGCGATCCCAACTTGTAGCCGGCAGAGGGCGAAGGTTGGGGGTTGGGGAATGAAAGCCCACCGTTTGCGCTTTCCGGAAGCTCGTGGACAGAACTGCCTCAATCTTCTTGAAGTTCGGTCGGGTGGCGTTCAGGGACCGGTGCCAGCGGGTCGGTGCTTCCACGCGGCTCGCACGCTCGGGGGCCGGGGATGGGTGGGGGGCGGCCGCCCTCGAAATCGATGATCAAAATGGGTACAACGGCTTCTCTCGAGATGTTTTGGCGTATACTTGACCAGACACAGACGCAACATTCAGATTATGCAAACATCGCTTATTATTATGATAGATCCGGGGTGTGTCGCTGCCAACCCAAATATTCTGGGCTCAACCAAACGCCCACGAGGGAGAGGGAGGATCAACAATATATTCTTGAACGCAATCCTTGGGCACCAGTTCAGCGATTCTTTACCTCGGGCTTGGTGCTAGTGCATTGCCCGTGTCTTAAGAACGCCATGGAGACACATGCACTTGATTGCCTACATGCAAAAACCTTCCCAAGAGATTCCAGTTCAGCTTATTTTACACCACCCATACTTGATGGTGATGGATTAACACTCGATTGCTTATCGGGCACCGTGGTTTGGTGGTGTTTGTAGGCTTTGCTCCAGGCAATGATGACGGGACAGGAACTAGTTGGCTGGTTGAAGCCACCAGGGAAGCCAAACGCGTGTTCCCCGGGGCAATTATCACCCACGCTCCTCAGGCGCCATACTTCGCTCCTCAATTCACCGCCAACTACTTGGATGTTGAAACACAGGTAAGGTGTCGCAGCCCCTTTCTACATTCTTTGAAATGCTGCTCGCAAAATGGTGGTTGCATATACTCTTGCACGAAGCAATGGTGATCATTGGGATTTCACTAATTATTAGCTCTCTCTCAAGAGCAGCAGCAGAATATAAGGAGTTGAGTCATTTGTTCAGCACTGTTCATTTCTTTGGGTTTCTCTCGATTGAACATCTCAATATTGCAGATTAAGTAGGCGCCAACGGCAACGTCAAATCACTTGAAGAAATTGGCATCTTGTTCTACGTATGATGGCTCACTGCTACAGGCATTGTCAACCGTTACACAGAAAATCTCTTGAAACAAGCAAGCACTATGGCATTTTCATAATCTTCAAAAAGAATACTGACTACCAACATCATTTATGGCATCTGTATGTGGCTTTACGAAAATGGCAAGGAAATGCAAGTTGTAATGTTTACCTGCAATCGAAGTTCCATTCGCCTTCTTGCCGTATTTGACACATGCGCATGTGTCAAATAATTGCGGCATTGCACGCAATGCCGCAATTATTGGAAGCTAGTAGTATTTAGTGGTAATTAATTTGACTTTTGCACAGGCTGGCAGCATGATCGACTTCTACAACGTTCAATTCTACAATCAAGGAGGCACAACCTATGACACGTACGACACATTGTTTGAGCATGCCAACGGCTGGTCAGCGGGCACATCTGTCATGGAGATGGCGAACAAGGGCATTCCCATGTCCAAGATCGTCATCGGGAAGCCAGTGACGAAGGCAGGCGTCGTGAACACTGGCTTTGTGGAGATGAACCAGTTGGCCAGCTTCTTCAGAGAAGCAGCCTCGAAAGGGACCTTACCAAGGGGTTTCATGGGCTGGCAGTGGAGCCTTGATGTACAGCAGCTGGGCGGGACATGGGCGCAGACGTTGAGTGCGGCTTGGACTGGTGCGCCCAGCACTCCCACCAATTCACCCAGCCCTTATCCTCCCAGCCCTGTGGACAGTCCCAACCCGGAGCCTCCCTATTCCCCGGATCCAGTTAGCCCAACGGAACCTTCAACGGGCAGTGGGTCTTGCACCCAGGATTACACCGTCGTCACCGGAGACTCACTTTGGGAGATAGGCCAGCGGTACGGAATTCCGTGGACAGAGATCTTTGATGCCAACCGGGATACGATGTCGGACGCAAACGCCATATACGTCGGCCAGCAATTGCACATTCCCGTGCCGTGCGACACGGATGACGGCAGTGTCCAAGTGCCCACCGCCCCTCCACCTCCCATTCACGAACCTTCACCCGTTCCTGTGCCTTCGCCCGTTTACGATCCCATTCCGGTTGGCGGGAATGGGCAAGCCTGCACTGGCTCGCACTTGGTGCAACCGGGGCAATCTGTGTACGTGCTTGGGGACATATATGGCATCAATTGGCAGGAGATCTTTGACATGAACAGGGATAGGGTTGCACACCCCAGCCAGGAAGTCGTGGGCCATACTCTCAGGATTCCTTGTGGGAGTGCCATTGGCGACGTGCCTTTGTCAGCACCTTTGTCACCTCCTTCCAGGCCTGCTTATGTTCCAGAGCCTATTGTGCCACAGACTCCCACTTACGTCCAAGAGCCTATTCTGCCCAAGCCAACAGACGATGGTGATTTGGGATTTGACTCAGTTGTTCTGGATCAACCCATTCCGGTTGGTGATTCTAGGCCCGACTGCCCATCCACGCACCTTGTGCAACCTGGGGAGTCTGTCTATGAGTTGGAAAAGATGTACAACGTGCCATGGCAAAAGATTTTTGATGGGAACAGGAACAAATTGTCTGATCCAAGCCAGGTGATTGTTGGCCACACACTTGATATCCCTTGCTAAAGGCACGGTGATGATGGAGAAATTATTCAATTCAGAGTAGTATTTAATGTGATGGCAATTAGATGGCGTTGATGGAGGTCAATCTTAATGCACTCTGAATTGATTCAGTGTGGCCTAAGGCGCCATTAAGGAAACGACAGCCATCTTGAGCACTCCGTGTAGTGTTGGCGTGGGGTGCCGAATCGTCAAAGCTTTGCATGTGGTTCACTCGGAGATGGGGACATCGAGTGCCAGAATAAATGAGCCAAGAAGGCAAAATTGGAGGGCACTGATAAGGCAAGCGTCCACATATTATGCCAGTCTGGCATGGTTGCTAGGGCTTCTGGCCGTTGTCGATGCTCTGATTTCATGGATGGAATATGTGCAAGCGGTTGCCGCATAAGTTCTGGCAGGTGCCATGTGGAAGCATGAGCACGGTTGTGTGCCATCACTGCGTTGTGGAGTGCTAAAAACACGGATTCTAATAAGGATTTTCAGACGCACAAGCTGCGTGTACCGGCATTCGGCGTGCTTGAGAGACACCAGGTGTTGTTGGTATATGCGTGATGGACAATAAATTCCTCACTTGAAGCTCGCGCGTTGTATGACTGTTGTCCACTGCAGAACTCGAGATATTCTCCTTTGTGCCTGCATGCTATTGCTGTCTCACGTTGCCAATACAGTGCATTGCATGCATTTACTCACATAATGTAACCAGTGAACACAGACAATAGTGCACCCATCTCTACGCACTTGTCCTACGATAGCCCCACCACCTGAGTGGGTTTTGCAATCTGATGTTCGCTGTTCAGTCACTGTTACAACATCCATTGAAGCTGCACATAAATAAGTGAGGGCCATGTCTTTCATTGGAGCTTTTCCATTGGCACATGGCTTTGATTGCCGATTGAAGCGCCCCCACAACCATGGCAACAATCATTGACCAAAATCTCTCAAATTACGATATCCATGTTTTCGATTAAGGAGGCTTCTGTTCCAGACAAAAATGCTGTATCCATGCGAAGCGCTGGCAAGATGTCGAACGGCACCTGGGACCTTTTAAATAAACAGTGTTACACCTGCCGCCCCATTACTTGAATGCGATTGCAGCACCGTGCCTGGTTTCATCATCAGTACCAATGGACCCGAGGCAGATCATTCCGTTGAATATTCAGATGGCTTTGGGAGGATGAAGGGACTGAAATGCACAGCTCACATCGGGTATTTCCGGCGATGCCCGTGCGTCCCGCAGGTTCTGTACACCCTTGCGATGTCAAGATGGAAAAGAGTCGCGCCGTTCCGGGCGAACGGAATGCTTCGAGTTAAATGGCCATTTTCGGGAAGGACGGTGGTCTGCCCGGCACGGTGCACGAGAAGGAACGCTTCAATGCAAGCAATTGCAACGTTTCTGACCGTTTCGAGCACTGGCGGAAAAAGGACCAAAAAATGCTTTTTGCGAACACATATATATGCATTTCGTCAGTGTTTTGCATGCTGAAAACATGAAAATAACCCAAAACCGTAACTTTGTACACGTTTGAACACGTGCTACTTGGCCATTTTGTTCCTAGTGAAGGAGCCCGTGAGCCAAGGGCCCTTCGTACAATGCAAAGCATTCAAGGGTTGTGCAATCCGCAATCCCTGCTCTTCAAGCAACACGCATCACGTCGACACCCGAGAGTGGGCACAGGGACAATTCTTTGGTTTCTTTCAACAACATTGCGTCAGGCGACTGAGGCGCAGCGCGCCGCGCACCTGCAATCCACAAACCACGCTCACTTCCACGGCCTTGTCACCGGATACTGGACTGACCCTGATCCCGGGCGGAGTGTGTCACACAAGAATATGCACAAAGTGGCACCTATGATGGCCGTCTCTCAACAATTTGCTTAGATAAAGAACGCTGCGGTTTCAGCCTATCAAGCTCAACAGAGATGATTCAATACCTACTCTTCCACATATAGCCATCGCATGAATTCGACCACACATGCTCAAGGCGTCTGGCCGCCGCCAGCGCCGCCTCACCCCCCTGCTTCCAAACTAGCGGCGCATCAACGAGGCAACAGCCAGCGTCAACAGCGGCCAGACTAAAGCCAGCGCGGACAACCGTTATTTCACCAACGCAGTCTGCCTGCGGCTCCTTTGGACAGCTGACCTCGAAGCTAACCCCAACTACCCGACCACCAAATGCCCAGCCCAAACGTCTCCCACGGGGACAACAATCAGCGGTGGCAGGGATGTCTCCAAGCAGCTCTCCCAGTATCGGCCAGAGACGGAAGTCCCTCCCCCTGCGTCTCCCACTATCCGATGACGCCGTCGCCAAAGACACTGGCGTCCGAGGGCGTCGGCGGACCGAAGAGGCTGGCGTCCGAGGGCGGTTCGTCGGCCGCGACGACGAAGAGGGCGTCCGAGGGGGCGTCATTGGAAGGGACGTCGGAGGGCACGCCCAGGGAGACTTCGGGGCTGGGAGGGGTGGGGCTTCTTAAGGGCGCCTGCGGCTGGGCGACGGGGTTCACGGTGTCCCAAAATCCGAAGGGCCCGAGGCGCGCCTGGAAGAGTCATCATCATCACCATCATGTTTTGGCAGAACAAGGCAATGAGAGAGCCGTCAGCTTTCTATCTTGCCCGAGCAAAGCAGTATTTATGATCAGTTCAACGAAGAGCCACGGGCGCCGCAACACACTTACTCCATTCCGTCCCGTTGTGGAACCAGCGGATGGCTTGAAAAACATCCAGGAGACCATGAGGATGTGACATGACGTGCAGATTCTCCGGCGCACCCCCCCACCCCCCCCCAATCCCCACCCCACGTTTGGCCACCGAGATGCCCCGATAGACACACACAGGCAGCGTCACATGGCCCAGGAAGCGTCCGTGCGTTCCGACATCTGGACGCGGCGCCCAATGCGCCGCGACTTACCGGCCATGCTGGCAGCGAGGGCAGGCCGTGCACGTCGGACTTCGGTGGGTTGGCAATGTGCTCCGGAATATCGTCGATGGCAGGAACTTTCGATCCGGGGATGCCCTTGGCGTCGGGGGTGAGGACGCCATCTACGAAGTGTATGAAGCCCTGCGCTCATGTGTCCGTACTCAGGAACCACCTTGGAAATTCGTACGTTGAACAATGGCTCCAAAACAACCGTTATCACATTGCTAGTAGCGCCGACAGCGGAAGAACATGTGCGAGATGATTGTGCGCCAGTTTCACCGCAGTAACTGCAGCATGTAGCACCACGGTGGTGCAAAAAAGATTTGTGTGTATAGTGGTTTGCAAAAGGTGGTACAAGTCTTACTACCTTACGTTACTGTGTTGTACCACATTTCACGGAAAGGACCCCTCATAGGGGTGACTAACAGTATGTCAGACTGTCACCATGTTGCATCCTCGGGCCAGAGCAGTGCATCTCGCGGTTTGTGGCCGGGGCGCAAACACGTCCGACAATGGGCGCCTGCCTTCTGAGCCAAAATGGGTTGATAAGTTATCTTTCACAGTGTCAAGCAACGTAGTGTTGTCTTTAGACCACAATACGCAACGCTGTGTATACGTTGCTGGTGACGACTGGCGCATACATAGTCAGCATACATGGCTTCCTAATCTGTGCACATCTTCACACTCAATCTATGAGCCCACATTGAAAACGCGTCATTACGAAAGTGGCATACTAAAAGGCAGCTCAGTCCCGTGAAGAAAACTTCCAGGCAACGAGCTGGATTGGTGGGGGACGGGCACCTTGCACGCCTCCTTGTCCCCTCCAAGCAGGTGCACTTTGCTGGACTTCCCGTTGTGGATCACAACTTGCCCACCCTTGTCCCTCACTGCCAGAGCCCGGCCTTCCATGGTCATCATATGCACGCCATCCAGGAAGAAAGGCGTCGTCCACGGCGCATTGGCGCGGACTTCGGGCATCACGACGTGAATCTTCAACATGCCCTGGAGGTTGGCCTTGTCAGCTGCGCTGATTGTCACAGCACTGATCTGCCCTGTGCCTGTGGAAGAAAACAGCACTACAATGTTTGGATGGAACACGAACAGAGCTCAATTATTGCGTCCAACAACCAGACTGACTTGTGTTTTCAATCCATTTTGGGGCCACATGGAACCCACGGCCATTATTGCGCCTAAAGGCCACTGCTGGGCACCAAATTGGCAACTGTGTAGTGACGCAGACGCAGTCGTTTGCCAGGCAGATGGCCGGCGTCGGTGCAATATCGTATGACCCACCGCGATGGGGCGGTAGATGTGGCCTTGCTTGCCGTTTGATTTCCTCAGACAATGACTGCGAAATGATGGAGCATGACATCAACGCAACTGGGGTTTCGAAATCCATTTTCAACAGGATACGCTGCCAAACGCAGTGTCGAGCTGCCCATGCAAACGAACTGCGACCAAGAATGTAGGATTGGGTCTGGTGGGTCTCAGATTCAAATTCCGTGGATAATCAAACGGTTGGAAATCGGGGGTGCAGATGGTACCACGCGTCATAAGGACATACGGCAATAAACTTGGCGCTTTCAGTCGTTCGTTCAAGAACAGGTATTGTGCTACGCACGGGTTTGCCAAATACGTAGGCCCGTGGGACAGAATATTTATTGCTACCAACGTTCATGGCTCGGTTGACGTACATGGAATTCTATAGTAATTACGCCGCCACTTTGCGGCAACCATGTTCCTGGCCGTTTTCAATGTATGCTCTCAAACAAAAGCAGTAAAAGTCGCGATCGCACTCACATTCGATGCCAAATAACGTATTGTTCCGCGTCCCCAATGATATTGATATCTTGTGCGACGGCCAGTCGGTGCAGGGAAAGCAGTAGGGTAAACAAACGAAAGAGGAGGAGCGGAGAGTGGGAAGGTCGCGTCTTGGTGGAAGAGTGGCATGACACTTAGTAAATTATTGCATTATAGTGCGTCGGACTTCCAAAAAGGATGCTGATGAGGAGGGGAGACAAACGACGAGAGTGGATAATGCACTATATCGCAATTGTGCGCTACAATGCACGCATTCCAAACTAAATGGGATCAACAAATATTACTGCATTCGTACCTATTCACCGGTATCCATAGATAACAAGCCCTGGGACCCAGTATTTTCTCCAACACGGGAAGCTGTAAATCCCTCTGCAGCACTGCATGATATCCACCAGCGACCAAAGAACGCTTCGAAAATTGGGATTGCAGCACTGCGAGGTTAGTCATTCCTTGCAGGGAAGCTCACTTGGCAGTTTCAGCCATTCGGCAATTGACCCTTCCGGAGGCACCAGGAGCGATGCCATGAACCCTGGGTTGTCCAACACGTCGCCCAGCTCCGCAGCGTCCATTGCGCTCACGAACTCCAAAAAGCCCTCCTCCAACGCAAGCTCTCTGTACGTCTTGCAGCAGTCGCATCTACCACATGTGATCTGGCAATACCCTGCATAGTACGACGGAACACCACTGACGAAAATCTCCCCTGATTGAATGATCAAAGCACAGGAAGGAGCGGCAAGGCATCTGGTGGGCGATGACAAATGTGCCTCCAACTGAACGCCTTCCGTGCGAATGTGCAGCAATGCAATAACATGTCCACGCAGACAGCACTAATGTCCATCAGCAGCTTTGTTTGTCTGTAGTGGCTTACATGTGGCTATGATTGCGACATCTCAGTGGATAAGGCGCTGGCTTGAGCGAGAAATTTGAAGAAATTTGATGTCCATCACTGGGGCGCATGTTGTGTACCGAGTATGTCTTTCTGTGCAAAATCCGTGTCCTGCTATTGGTGTAAGTAAGGCTCTTGGCTGTTTATGGAATGCTTCAAAGAAAATCTGAATTGGCATGCTCGCCAATTTTCTGCCAGTGCCAAATAGATGAGCTAGTTAGCGCATCTGTTTGGCGCTGGCAGGGAATTGGGAAGTTCAGGATACGTGTTCGCGACCTGGGGCAAGGCCTTCGTAGGTGCCACGCCTGTGCCATGGTCGCGTTTCCTGAAAAAATCTGCATCTGAAGTGCACACAAAAGTAAGTTTGCGGTGATTTAATAAGATGCAATCACAAGGAAAAAGTAGGGAATTTCTCTGGCTCAGAAGAGAAGGTATACATGGCTACTTCCTCTCCTGGAGAATTCGTTCATTGTCGGAGCAGGAAGGCCATGGAAACAATGTTAATCAAGAGCGCGTACAGAATGGTGTGGCTCGACTGCTCTTGGTGTTGTCATTTCTACTTGACCCTTTCCAGTTTGGAATTCAATGCAGCATTGCTCACACATGGAAAGATGAGATTGTGCAACGGCATTTGTCCGAACATACGGAGAAAAATACGTTAAACCTGCACGAAAATGAATGAGCGAATTTCCGCATCACTGTGTGCATCATAAGGTTGTGTAATCTATGGAAATTTCTACAGGCCTGAAAGGCCTGGAGGCATGAAGCAAAGCTGGCAGAGGTGCATGGTGCCTCCATTTGTGAAACCTTCGATGAGACAACCAAACATAAACACATTTCAATCAAATATGAGGACACTTCAGCGGTGATCACTTGCAAATGTATGCTAGACTCCATGGTGAATGGGCACGGCGAATCTCTCCTGCCTTGATCTCAAAAACTCCGTCATTTGCAACTGTACAAGTCCAATTCAGAAACTCGTGCAAATGGCTTCTGTTGTGCAAGATGAGATGTGGGAATGTGACGCTCACCTTCAGGGATTTCCTCAATGGTGTCGAGGAGAAAGGGCTCGGCGCACTGGCCCCATTCCCGCTGCAAGATGCAGTTGCCTTCTATTGGAGGCCCATCGTGAGCTACGCGGGGGTCGATGTCCGAGCAGTCGCAACCAGCATTTTCCAGGGCCACACTCTGGCTGCGTGCTGCATGGAAAATTGAAAGCCTTATTTCATAACTTGGGCTCCATATTGTGCATTGACACATATTCAGCACAAGGCTACCAGCGGCTCCTCGTGAGCCCAAGGTGTGCTCACCGCCTGCGTCAATTGCCCCGAAAATGTGAGGCTACCCCGCACAGGTAACAAGGCAGCCATCCTGTGGGCTGGCGCCGCTGCAGTGGCTCACTGAGCCCCAGTTGAGGCCGCCGGGTTGCTGGGACAACGCTCTGACAAGCAGACCTCGTGGTGAAAATCCAAGTGTACGCACCAAAAGCAGATGCCCTGGAGCTGTTCTGCTGGATACATCTAAGCGATTGAACAGTTACAGGGCATCACTGTTTGCGGATCGAACATGTGGGCATCCACGACACACTAACATGAGTCGCAAAACAGGCAAATTATCTGAATTGCAAGCAACATGTAAGTGCGAGCCCAGCTGGACCAGCAAGCGATCAAAATTGATAGAATGGTTTGCTGAGATGGAACGTCCTTTCAGCAGATATACAATGTACGTTGCGATAACCTGCATGTGATAAGCCCACACATTGATTTCATTGAGGGTTATGAAGATGGGGAGGACTGCGATCTATCTCCATTTCTATGCATGTTACCGTGGCTCCGTGGTTGGAGATGGTGGTATGCTGCGGTCTGCATTAACTGAAGGCCACATGTGGTGGCATGTGTCAGCTGACACGTACACCATCGCAATCAATACGCCGATATCAATGCTGCAAAGAAATGGTGCTCTTGCGCCAGCAATCCAAATCCCATCCACATCCACATCGAATTCTCGTGCATGCAGCCAGGAACGCAGGAATGCGGCGTTCCTCGCCTCCCCATGGTACCAAGGCTCCAGGCAGCTCTGCCAACATTTCCAAATTTTCGCACCATCCCCGGTGGTGAGCTGCCCATCGACGAGCGCAAGCCACCCGACCAGCGAGGGAGGAGCCCCGTGCGGCTCCCCTCCCCTGCGCCATTCCAAATCCCGGCACAATGCATGCCCACTTGTTCAGCCCAACTTCAATCACCTGTCGCCGCTAAGGCTGCCAGAACCACCGCGCGCACGATCCAGGAGCGACACCGCCGCTGGGCCTCCATGTTCGCCTCCCCAATCCCTGCTCAGCGAGGCTGCCTGTCACGGGCGAGGCCCACACACCGCCCGCCTCCAGCCGCCCGGCGGACTCCTCCCGCCGCGGGCCCGCCTGGTGCACATGGCGCAGAGCCTCGTCTGAGTCCCTCAATCGCGAATCGTCATAAGGCGTTCCTCCCCGCTTCATTCAGACGAATTGGTCCGTGACATTCCCCGCCGGGGATCGCCATGGATCCAGGCGCATTCGCGTCATGACGCGCCTGCGCCCCGGCCACCAGGGCGCATCGGAAGGCTCACGTGACAAAAACTAAGGCGCGCGTTGTTGTTGCCGGTGATGGAGGGTGGGTGGGTGGGTAGGTGTGTGTGTGGGGTGGGGGGGCAGCGATGCACAGGTGAGCCTGTGGGGCGGCGAGACGCAAGGAGGCCCCATTCGCGACGCTCGGGCGCAGCCCAGGCCGCTGGAGCACGGGGTGTGGCGACGTCCGCCCGCGGCGAGGCGCGCGCGGCCGACAAGCGGGGAGACAAGCGTGTGCGCAACGGGGCGCCGCTTATGGACAGGCGAGCGCCGCGCGTCTTACCCTCTCCCTCCCTACTAGCCGACGCCGCTGCAGGGGTCAGGTCTCTGTTGGCGCGTCGCGGCGGTCGGGGCACATTCCGATGCAGGATGCTTGGGGGCTGCCGCCCAGTGCTTGTGGTGCGGCATTGGGATGGTGGGTGAAATGACAGGGACTCGATCCGAGTGTGCCGGCCACATCGGCATTGGCGCGATGGGGGGCCTGATGTGCCAGCTCGGATCCGGGGGCTGTGGGGAGTCGCGATGGGCCCCCGGGACCTGTTCATTGCGAGGCGGCCACGGATTTCAGAGTCGACGTTCGAGTTGTTGTGCAAAAACCCCAGGACGCCCGCTGGACAACGGCTTGGCAATCCAAGGAATAGCAGCCCACCTCAAACTTCGCTGTCGTCTCTAATGGGCTGCTCAGTGAATAGGTTCATTAAATAATACTCATCTCATTCACCAGCAGGATGCACCATTCTGTCGATGGCAACTGTGATGCCTTCTGACATTAAAAGGTGGTGTTGTAACTAGAAACGATTGAGTATTATTAACAACTGAATGCATGAAGAGATGGTGAGGCACTAGGAATTGCATTAAGGACGTTGATGAACGGGCTGAATACAGAGGACAGAACGCCTGCTGTCCTTTTGCCTCGGCTGTAAACCGTGGCCGTGGACTCGAGCGTACGATTCCCGTTCAGGGATCGCCGCCCCTCGATCCTGCCTGCCTTCGACAGTGGCATACAGTGATTGCGATGGCGGAAAATTGGCTGTGATGACATGAATTAAAATCAGATCCCCAAATGCAGTATTGTGCTATTGATGGAATTTCCAAATGAATAATATCAGTAGGCCGTTGCGTAAACACGCATAAACACGTGTAAAATATGTAAAATTTGACCCGGTGTACATAAGAGAGTGCATGCAGACTCAAGGAGTCCGGGGCGTGGCAGCCAGGCGCAGGGGAATGGGCAGAAATCGACTTTCTCTTCGTCGACGTCTTTGCCCTTGCCGGGGCGAGCTGGGAGCTGTGTTGCAGGTGCTCGAGGGAGCGTAGGACTGACCATTGCATGCCAATTCATCATGTAACGTGGGCGTCCTAATGCGCCAAAAACATAGTCGTAAATATAGCCCTTTCGCGCTTTTATGTGTGAAGACGTAAACGCAAAAACGTGAAAGCAAAGACCAAGCATGCACAAGCAGGCCTGTTATTTACGTTTTGACGTTCACATTTTTACACGTACAAACTTAAATTTGCAAAAGGGCTATTTTCACCGAAGTGCTTACGCTTTTGCCGCTCGTTGGGGCACCCAGTTTGCAAGATGAAAGTCGCGTATATTGATCAAACTCCACCCCCCTGGAGCATATGCAACATGGCGTCCACGCGAACCTCGGTAAGGGCAACGTTGCCGACGCTAACGTCGTTGGCGAACGAGAGTACGCTTTTTGCTCACTCATGCACGTCTGGCTGCCAGTCCTCGGACTCCGTAAGTCTACTACGTAAAGTAAATGCACTAAATTACTTATGCAACGTAAGTCTGCTCCTTAAGTCTATTATGTAATGTCGTTAGGTACACGGGCGGGTATTTATGTAAAACGTACAAAAGGTGAAACAGTTTTTATGCTTAAAAACGTAAATACGATCTGTGTTGCAACACAATTGACGGCGTAAATACCAAGCCTGTGCACAAGGACATCCAATGCATAACGTGCCTGCATTGGTCCGACTGCCTTGCTATCGTCCAGTAAATGGATGTGACATACGGTTTATAATCCATGCGTGGATGCCTTAAAGCAAATAGGATATGCTGAAATGAATTGAGCATTACTTAAATTCGGTATGGTGCAACATGTAGTAATGCGTCGCATGATTGACTTGTGAATGTGGCAAACACAACAATGTGTGCGCAGGCACATCCGCACCCGGGCAAAAAGGGTGGTGATCCCCGCTTCGAGTACTGCAAAGGCTACAAAGCCAGCACGATCAACATCAAAAGATTGGAAAGGTCCTGGGACGTTACTGCTGCTATCAGCAGCAGGAACAAGAAATCTGGACAGTCTGGAAGGCACGCCGCCTTATTTACCTCGATGTAACGTTGCACAACGCTGCAGCAATGCCGATCTAACAACGTTCAGGCCAGCAACGTTGCCACCTATGCGAAGACAAACCAATGCTGCATCCGCGAATTTCGCTGCAACGTTACCTTGCTGTGCATCAATTGCTCACTGGATCGAGAGAGAGAGCGTTACAATGTGCGGAAGGGTTCCTAGGAAGTCACCGCCTCCTTTATGAACCACCCAAGAGACCAGTGTAGCCAAGGCCAAATGTCCCATACCAAAACAATGCTAGCAACAGCCAGCCAGCCACAAAGAACACAAAATAGTGATCAAGAGAAAGGGAAACAAGAAGCCCCATGAGTACAAAGGGAATCACCGGGTCGAGGGCCACCAAGGATGCAGCAAGAGGAACTCCACAGTTCCACGCCTTCCCAGCCGTTCAAATCCGTCCTCCAACAACACCCCCCGGCGCCAATATTTCCAAGACCCGCGTTCCCAAGTTCTCAACAATCCGAAGTCCCACGATTGTTCAGGGTGAGTTTTAGGGCTAGGGTTAGGGTTAGGACAGGTTTAGGTTTAGGTTTTAGGGTTTAGGTTTTAGGTTAGGTTAGTTTTGACGGAGTTGGACATGATGTGCACGTGACTTGGTGCAAGAAGTCACCGTTTTCGTGCAAGCAGTCACCGATTTGATGCAGGGAGTAATTTTATGCCACGATTGTGCGGGTCCTGCCCTGTTTTGATCCAACGAATCACAGACCGATCACCAGGATGCGCGACCCGGCTGTAGTTTCGGTGTCCCGCCGCAGCCGCGGCCACCTTCCCTTTGGATTCTCCCCCGCGGTTAGGCACTGACTGGACCACCCATGCCCCCAGCATCAAAGGCTTCCGCTCTTCGAGCCCTTGTCAGGTTCTCCCCTTCGCGGCGTCGCTCGCGACAGCGTCCCGAAGGCTCAGCGGCGCGCGGGCAGCATGGGCAGGGGCGACGAGGACGGCGTGCCGGCGGGCGGCTACTCCGCCCTGTCGGGGGCGCCGGGAGAAGACCTTGGCGAGCAGCGCGTCTTCAACTATGGCCGCCGCGAGCATAGGGACAGGGGCTGGACATACGCCTTCGCGGCCACGATGCTGCTGCTTCTCGCAGGAGGCATCGCGGTAGGGAGGGGCGTCAACAAGAGGTGGGGCGGGTGGCGGGAGGGGAGGGGGGGAGGCGGAAAACTGCCTGGCAGATGGATGAGGGGCAGTGGGTTTGGGGGACAAGGGTGGGAAGTTGTGCGTCGTTTTTTTCTGTTTTGGGCAGCGGCTGTGGGGAAATGGAGTCGAGAGTGGGAGGGGCGCCTGGGGGCGTGATCTGTGGGTCTCTGGGTCTGTGGGGTGATTGCGGGTGCCGTTTTGCGGTCGCTGCGCGGCGCAGGTTCACGGATGTGACCACGGATGAGTACCTGTCGGACTACGCGAACTGCCCGGCGAAGGCGCCCGGCGGCCGCGGCCTGCTGCAGGAGGAGGAGGAGGAGAAGGATGATGGCGAGTTCTCGCTGCACAAGTTCACGCACGCCGTGTGGCCCTGGCTGGCTATCACGCTGCTCGGCAGCCTGGCGCTGGGATTGGGATACGTGAAGATGTTCGAGAAGCATCCGATGGGTAGGGGATGCGGCATCGCAGCGGGGACGGTGGGGAGCGAGGGCCTTTGGGGCCGCCTGCGCGTGTGCAGTGTGATGGCTGTGCGCGGCCGTTTGGCTGTCAGAGTTGAGCTGATAGTTTCGCGCACGTTGCCGCAGATGCCGCGGCATGCTATTCTTTTCGATTCCGCCATCCAGGGTAGGAATGAATGTGGGAAAGTGGGAGCTGGCTGATTGGCGGCTGCCAGCGGTAATGTGAGGTCTGCGGTCGTTGATTCGGACGACTTCCCGTAGAGAAGACTGTCAGGGGCTGTGACCAGTTGCCTGTGCGCGCTGCTGCCATGGGGCACAGCTGCCAAGCAGCAGCCCCTTGAAAGCCACTCAAAATGGCTGGAAGCGGGGCTGCTGCTGCCGCCGTGAAACGACGATTGGGAAAAAGGCTGGCATCAGCTGCACACCATCTAGAGACTGCCGTGATTGTGGTGTGGAGGCGATATGGCTTGCAGAAAGTCGTCTGGAATCTGCATACCGCTAGTGCGGTGCGAAGTAGTTTCAAGTCTGTTGAAATCCACGTGTTTTTCGCTGGCCGTTACGTGATGAAGCTCCATCTTTTAGCCGACGAGGTGATGATAGTTGCCTCTCACCTTAGCCAGAACTTTTGCCTTGAGCCTGAATGATGCCTACAACCAAACAGCCTGTAGTACTGATAACCAAGAGGCATGTGAATTGGGAACTGTGCACTTCCACATGGCCTTGATTTGCAGTGTGTCTCTTGTGCAGGAATGATGATCTTTGGAGCTGTCATGCAAGTTGTCTTGCTTGCAATTATGGGCATTGCATCGTTCTCCTGGAACCCCTACATTGGGATCGTTTTGCTCTTGGTTGCTGGCGTTGCTGTGTGCATCCACATGTCAACGTAAGTTGCCATCTAGGTTAACAGAAATTGCTGTCCGCTTGTCAAACGTAGCTGCTGTTGTGGCAGTGTTGCTTGGTTGGAATTGCATTGGCCTGGATATTTGGAAGGTGGTCATTTACGGCCTCTTGTGTGCAATCAATGTTGGCAGGATTGTGCTCATTGGACTTGCTCGTTCTTTTGACAACAGTCTGTGAGCAGCCAGTTTATATCAATAAGCACCATCGATGTATCAGTGCCTTGGACCCATCAGCACTTCTCAGAGCCATGTGCTTCCCTGACAATGGATCGTGGGCCATTGGTATTCGAATGTTGAGGCACCCAAGCTTGGGTACTGGTGCTACCTTTCGAATGTTGGGTACCTTGCTGGCTGCCCAACTGCGTAATGATCATGCACTCATGGTGTTCATTATTGCCCTGAGAACCAAGATGAACAATGTGGGTGGACCAGGTGCTGAATGCTAAAGCCAAGCCTATCCTCTGCAAATTTTGTAGCCAGCACTACCCACTGTAGGTGCTGTGGACGCATTCAGCTCCTGACAAATGGATACCACACCTTAAGTTGTGCTAGCAAGCCATTGCCCAATTACATTGTATCTTACTTCTCCATTGTCTGCCGCGCATCATACTCATCGCGAGGGAGACACTTTGTTGATTGTGTGGGTGAAAAACTGCTTGTTGCTTCTTTGATTGTTCACTGAACAGGGAGTGCTTTTCAGCTGATTCTGAGTGTCTTGGGTTGCCCTGGCATGCCGTTTTGCAGGAAGCGCCACTTTGAGCTCTGTGCGCAGCTGTTCCACGTAGCAACCAAGGGCCTGAGGGCAAACCCCAGCATCCTCCTGTTGGTCATCGTGCTGTGGGTTGCCCTCGGAGTGGTTGCATTTGTTGCTGTCGCACTCCTCGGCGTGGCGGCGATGAACGGAAGCGTTGTGACAAACCCCAGCGTCGATTCCCACATGGGTCAGTCCTGCCTTGACAGCACCGGCACAAAGGTCGCATGCTGTGTGTGGCAAGTCAAGGTGGGGGCACACGAGAGCAAGTGGCCTTGGCAACCTTTCCAGGAATAACTGCCTGCCTTTTGTTTGTAAGCCAATATTAATATATTGTTTATTAATATATTAATATTGTTATTTTTGTTTATAAGCCAATGTTAACCTGGAGGATGAGTCTTTCACACCCGTTTTTGCCTGAAACTAGACACCAGCCAGTGCTTTGGGAAAGGCATGGACCTCTGCATGGAGGGCAGGAGGAGAAATATGTCATTTGGGCGAAGGGTGCTCTGCTTCTTGTAAGCACCGCTTGATCCCTTGATGCCTTGATGCCCAAAGAAAGCATCCACTGAACGCTTCCCAGTGTCACGCTACATCTGTTCCGAATTTCTCACCTGCGTCCTTCCCTGCGGCTAAGTTGTGGATTCGTGTGCATTTCCTGCCAGAGTCCAGGCATCCAGCAAAAGACAGCTCAAAAGTGCAATGCTAGTAAAGATAGCTCTGAGATGCATTGACAATGCCACCGCTCCAGCTTGGTTTGTCCCACATGAAAGCAACCAACTTCTGTTGAGGCCAGGCTCTCTGTTGCAGGGTTGGGCTGCGCTGTACTCAGTATTTGCTGTGCTGGCTTGCCTGTGGACCTTCTGCATAATCATCGAGCTCAGAGTCTTTACTATCGCGGGCACCATCACGCAATGGTACTTTCAGCCCCCTGGAACCAGCACCGAGGGAACACTCAAGAGGTATGGCAGATCAGACTTCCCCTTCACTGGGATGTAAGCTTTGACTTCTGTGCAAACGCTGCATTCAAGACACGGGGCTCCTGGCGATGTGGACACGCATGTTTATATTGATTCCTGCTGAAGAGGGCCCCATCATATACCCATATGCGTTTCCACTCTCTTGCAGAATCTCTGTGGATACAAGTGGATGCTCCTTCCATGCCGACTGCATGCTTTTACTGGAGCAACACAAAAGTCCACTTATTCAGGATAATCTTCAAACTAGGAAACTTGCGGCATGGCTGCACTAGAAAACTCCATTTAGCTGCCCACAGCTTTCTATTGGCGTGAAGTGATGCGTACACACTTGATGCCCTATTAAGTGCATGGGCAATGTTGTGTCGCACATCGTAGCAGGTGCAATTTGGTATCAATGCATCTCTATGTTGGCAGGAGCTTGGGCCATGGCTTGGGTGCCTCTTTTGGGAGCATTGTGTTTGGTGGGATGGTGCTCACCATCCTGCAAATCCTCCGTTTCCTCCTGCGCATGGCAACCAACAACAGGAGCAGGAACATGCTGGTCATGTGCATCTGCATGGTCATCAGAGCCATCCTCATGGCGATCCTTGACATCATTGAGTTCCTGACACGATTTGCCACCATGTGGTGTGCCGTCAAGGGTAAGGCTGAGGCCCAACTGCAGCTGCTTGCATTTTCATTGATGGCAATCATGTAGCGACGATGAAGCACTCTATGTTGGGGTTTTGTTGGGCTGCAGAGATGCAATTGGAGAATAGTGAACTGATGACATGTACCTGTAACTGTGACGAATCGCCGCCTTCATTTACAAGCTGATGTCAAGGGCATGTTAATGATATGATGCATCTTCTTCTTGTCTTGTTCATCGTTTTTCTTCCTCTGCTGCCGCTGCCACCACCACTACCGTCATATCACACATTTCTTGTTGTTTGCAATGATGGTTCAGCTGCGCTTGCAGTGTACGAAACATAGCATGTAGTATTATGGAGTGCAAGCACCTGAATAAGGGTAGCATTACTCTATTTATCATCGTGTGACTCACACTGCCACTGACCTGCCAGTCCTGCGTTCTTGCAGGCGACGCTTTTATTGAGTCGGGGCGACAAGCCACAGATATGCTGAAGCGCAATTTCATGGACACCACGTTCGTCTGGTGGTTCCCTTCGTGGGTGCTGCTGGGTGGCAACCTCGTCTTCAGCCTGGCGTGGGCGGGCATCATGTACCTGGTGGCGATCATTGGGGTGGCTCCTGGCTTGAAGGTTGGTTGTATGCTCCATATCCAACTGGGCGGGACCTGGTGGTCGCCCTCGAGATTGCCTTTCGTTGTCTGCGCTTCCTGCTGTGGCTGTGGCGGCTGAATTTGTTTCTTCTCCAGCAATAACATCTCTTGGGTGCCATTCTCCAAATATATGGCGTTTTGCCCTCAGTGCACTATATCTGGTGTATGAATACCCTCGCTCGCACTGGTTTCGAAGCAGAGCTCTACTGTTTTGCTCAAGTCCAGACCGTTGCCTTTGCAATTCGTGTACCCTAATCCCTTCTTCAGACCAGTGTGCTGCCTTGACTTCTTGTGTCTTTCAGCAAAGCTAAAGTCAGTAGCCCGAGTTGTTCCGCGTCAGGCGCGTTGCCCCATGCGGCTGGCGAAGTGACTGGGCAATTTGGTGTTGTAGGAATACGCTTTGGCTTTCTTCATCACCTCGTTGATCACTGCGTACCTGGTGCTGTCCCTGACTGCCTCCATCCTGCTCAACCTTGTGGAAACGGTCTACTTCTGCTATGCCATTGACAAGGACAACAGGGTTGTCAGCAACGATGAGGTGCACGAGGTCTTCCAGAAGCTGCCTGCAAAGGTGAGTCACGCCGCTGCCGATACTCCCCCGATGTCGTCGGCGCCTGCAGCCACCCCAGCTGAATGTATGCTGTGAAATCAATCATGTGGTGTTTGGACTGTTTGGGAGGCGGTGCAAGCGTTAGGCAGATTAATGGGCTTGTGTCAGAAGTCCAAACAGGAAAATGGCGGCGAGACGAGGCTCATATGCGCTTGGCACTGCAAAGTGTAACGGTCGCGTATGAACTGAGTTCCGAGTCATGAGTCATGCCAGGAGTTTCTGTGTTTCTGAACGTGCCCTGGTGATTTCAGGGCTGTGGGAGGGTCTATACTGCATCGGTTTGAGAATGGGCGGTGGAGAACAGAATTTTGAGAAGTCCTCATTTCTATCACCTTTTCAAGAATACGTCGACCGTTGGAACAAATTGTGTGCTTTTGCCTCGTCTCCCCAGGTGGGCGTCTTGGTGGAGCAACCGGAGGGTGATGTGATGTACGCGGCACCTCAAGGCCAGGCGCCTCCGCCCGTGCTTCCCACTGTCTGATTTCGAACCTCTGCGGCCAGTGACGCAAGGGGCCGATTAGAATAGTCGCCCTGCTGGCGCCCTTGTTAGCCAAGAGTATCAGGATTTGATGGGACCCTCGTGCGTCAGCTGGCACGCTCTCTGATTGGAACGCCTTTGTTGAATAACACTAGCGGATTCCACGACACATTTTGTGCGGACCCGACATGTTTGAATGTTTATTGCTGTGGCATCACATTGTAATCCACGAGGCACATGCATCAACGGTTTTAGTGTTGCGGAAGGCGGGGCATGGGGGCGGCTGTTCCTGGGCTTGGGTGAGGCTGACGGAAGGGACAAGCCGCGACGCACGTTCCTGAGATATCAGCGCTGTCGACGTCGCAGGCAGCGAATCTCAAGTGGTCGGCATCCCGCGGAACACAGCCTGTGTGAGTGGGCGGGACGCTTCCCACGGGTACCTCAGACTTGTTGACGCCAAATGTACCTTACCTTCTCGACCCCAGCATGCAGTGCGCAAGTTTTTTGGCCAGAATTTGCATCGGTACCTGGTGAGGAACTTTTGGTCAAGGACAGAGGCAGCAGCGTTCGGAGCTGTTCGTGTTAGGGACTCGGTGTTGTGAGAGTTTCTACGAGCATACTTGCATGCCTTGTTGGCAGCCGGACGTTTGCTGCCCATTTGAAGCTTTCCCTTGACGTCATTGCAATTTTTGGTGGTGGTCGCCTTGGTGACAAGCAGCGCTTCGTGAAGAGCCAGTTCGCGCGAGGGGTGAAGGGTTGGTCGTTGAACCAGTGCACCCTCAAATAAAGTGGCGCTGAGGCTGTCGACATGGCCCAGCTACCCGTTCAGGGGTGATGTGGCTGCACTGGCTCTGGGCACAACGGCCAGAATGGACCGTTGTCCTTTGCAATATGTATCATGTGCGATTGCATACGTATGCGACTCCAGAGCCTCGCAGTTTCTGGGAACGCATTGCGCCCTCGTGTGAGCAAAAGAAGATTGTATTTTACAAACTGATTCGCCGCTTCCGCCAATTCAAGAATGAAAACCGCCAGTATCACGAGGCCACCCCCTCAGCCAATCACGCCAGGTGCCCCTGAGAAGCGTCAAATCTGCGGCCTGCTGGCTGGACGCATTGCCGGGCCGGCACCCCCAGATGTGGGGTTCGCATCCATATGCCGACTGGCAGCAAGGCACCCGACACAGTACCACACCAAATGGCGACAATAGCGCGATCCAACTGCCCTACTGTCCCAGGTTGGCGGGCGCCCCTTGGCTGGACTGCTCTGAAACTGGCCAGTACATACTACCCATGCCCATCCACACTGCACAGCAACGCCCCGCTAGGACCCACAGGACGCCAAGCGTTCGAAGGACGCCGCATAGTCCAGGCCATTCAGACCAGATCCCACAATGGCCTCGATCTCCTCCGCCTCGACCGGCAGCTCACCAGACAGGACCACCGGGCCCTTGTTCGTAATGAGGACATCGTCCTCGATGCGCACCCCAAGGCCGCGGAAGGCGCCGTATTGTTCCTCATCGGGAATGTAGAGACCAGGCTCCACAGCCAGCACCACTCCGGGTTCCAGGGACGAATCCCGCGAAACGTGGCCTGTGTCGTGGACGTCGATTCCAAGGTAGTGGGCTGTGGCAGGGTGGGCACAGTGCAAGGAATCAGCTTCAAGACTGTGTGGGTTTGAAGACCGACGCATTCAGTTGTATGCGAGTCCGTTAACTCGGCTGCATTCTTGCGCTCGCATACCCAACGTCTCGGCCATGAGGACCACATTCAGAAAGAATCTGACAGAGCCTTTTTCGCGGGCTGCATTTGTGCAGGGAACAAGATGGCCAAAGTGCGTGGCTCTCTAGGGAAGATACTTCTATGTATTTGGCCCGCTTAACGCTCAATCGTTATGTCCATTTGCTGCGATTGCTACATCGATATTCAGCAGAGAAAACGGTTGCGAACCGATTGCTTGGGAGGGGAAGCTGCGCTCGTGATGTCTTGGCATAAACCAATCACTCACCAATCATGTGTGGGTAGAACTGTTTGTACGGCCCATTCATCAGTTCCCTGGCAGTCGAAGGTCCGATCCCCAAGCTGTGCAAGCCTTCGCACAGGAACCGCACTGAGAGGTGATGCAGCTGCATCAGGGAAACCCCCGGTTGACAGGCCTCCAGACAGCGGGTGTGGACTGCCCGCACGACATTGTACAGGTCTCGCTGTGGTCCAGAGAAGCGCCCAGAAGCAGGCCAGGTGCGTGTGACGTCGCTGGCATAGCCAAACAGCTCGCAGCCGGCGTCCATAAGAATTAGGTCTTCATCCTTGATGGTCTGTGGCAGCAGGAGATGGGCATGGCGTCAGCACAGCACTGGTGCAGGTGACTCCCCACTTAGAGTGCAGATTCTTGCCAATCTACAATCTGCAGTAAAATTCCTGGCAAAAGACGTGACAAACTGACACGTTCTTGCTGTGGTCATGTTGGATCCAGTTCCATCCGTAGTTGAGCATCAGGCCAAGGAGAAGCCAGCTGCCCAGTCCCCAGGTCGACATATCACACAATTGATTTCCTTCCAGCACGATGACAAG